CTTGTTTCATAATAAAGCCTTCATGTCTCCTTCCAGAAGGAGCTTGTTCTCTAGGAACTTTATGTATTTTATGATTTATGCCACTGTTCAGAGTACAATTTAAACCAAGAGCGCGAATAAATAACCTAACCTTGAACTGACTTTGACTGTCATTGCCTCAAAATATTTTTGTATACAAGGTTATAAATACAATATATTAGCTGGTATAATTATAGACTGCGAATCCAAAAACGTTCATTATACTGAAACGGAGCGGATGATCCTTGCTCAACTAATATTGCAAGAAAAAGCGATCGAAAATAAAAAAACAGGAGCAGCGGATCTAAAAGATAAGGCTGAAGCTTGGGAGAGGGTAACTACAAAATACTGCAGCCAAGGCTTTCCACCTCGTACCAGCCATGGTAGAAATACAAGGGTATGCTCTTGCGCATATTTCCGAACCCAGCCAATCAGCGACTTGTCCAAGCTTACGTCACACTGAGCGGCACATTTAAGCAGCGAATCTATAATAGTCATTTATAAAAGCATTTTGAGCGGACAATATGTGAATACAAAATAATGTTGATCATTTATGTGAGAGAAAATTCTGTTTTATAAATAAATAAATATATATGAACAAAAATATATAAATATAAAAAACGCACGTGACATACGGATAAACGCTCATCGTTTCCCGAATTTGTCTCTCGTTGTAGATGTTAGAAACGTTATTGTTATTTGACGAATTTTATAATTATTTATTGTGGATTTGTCTAAATATATGATATTACAGAAAATATTATTATTATTAAGAAAAAAAGAATTGTGTGCATTGAATAAAAATCATTGCGACGTACGGAAAAATTTCACATAAAACGAGATTTTAATTTCCAGTCATTTATTATTAAAATTCTGCGAATTATTAGTTTTAATCAAAACTGGTCGGAAAACGATTGGAAAAGAATTGTCAGCTGAGACGCAAAACAAAAATATATTGTGGCGTACGACATAAAGAACTATATATGCAGAGGAAAGATGCAGATAAAAGATCAAATAACAATAAATGCAAATATTTAATATACAGGTTTTTTATTAGTAAATTTTGACATCTTTCTTCTTTTTTCTTTTTTCAGCTAACACATTTTCGTTTGATGTTAGTGGAGGTACTGCATGGAGATGCAACGTCGGGATAGCATCAGGATGTATCTTCCTAGTTCGTGTAGGTGAATAACCTAGTAGATGTTCTTGTAAGGGCTTCGTAAAAGCTTCATCAGCAAAATGCTTCGAACATATCCTAGCTGAAGCAAACAAGGTTTAAGATTCTTAAATATATGCTTATAATAATAAACAAGAGAAATCTGTGGTACAATATTAGTTGCTTTCCATTTACATCAAAACTCAGATAATTCTCACTTGTGACGTCATAACTCAGTTAAATGCACGTTCCTTTTGCATGATGGCAAGTGAGATTCAGCTGAGTTTTTATCCACAATCGAGACTGTTGCGATAATCTGGGAACGCACGGTTGCGAGAGATAGGGTAGCACAGAGAAATCAGACCGTTATGTATGAAAGTCGCATTTATTCTGAAGACGATACACACTCGCACGCCGGTAGCTGATATCTGCGACAGAATTCGGAGCAGGAGCACAGGTGATAAGAGAGGGGTGGTTTGGTCTATCCCAGCCCGCCTCGTGCCGACCTCGTGTCAGCATTCCGATCGCGAAAGTTCGAGAAGCGCGAAAACTAATCGTCCTCAACAGAGACCATGTGCTTTAATGAATCTAATAAACTCACATTAAAAGTGAGGCTATGGACCGGTATTATTATTATGCGATAGCTTTGTCACCAAAATAAGCAGGTAAATACAAAATGACATATCTTATCTGAGTATAAAAATACTCACATATCTGAGTGACTCAGATCACTTGAGTGTAAATGGAAAGCAACTATTACTATACAAAAGTACATACCATATTTTGGTGAAATATTTTCTTTTCCGCATGCTTGACGCCACTTATTACACAGTGCTGGATCCTTTGGGAAGGAAAAATATTTTATTCTATTTCCTTCGATCTTTCTGGTCTTTGCCAGATAGTTCCCACACCCTTTCACATTACACGTCATTGCGTACACTGTAATAATCACAAACGAATTACTCGACATAAACAGCGAACCGAGCGAACGCAGCCATTGCGAATCACCGAGTACATCCGATTCATTCCGATGCTACACGAATATGACGTAAGCTTAGACAAAAGTGGTGGGAATGCGCAGTGGTCTGACACGGTATGAGCATACCCTTGTATTTCTACCATGGTACCAGCAAGCAATTAAAGAAATGCTGGGATAACATGAAACAAAAGTATGTTAATAATTTT